TGAATCTAATGAATACTCTCTCGGAAAAAGACGTCTGTTCTTGGGCTTTCAATATCATTTAAGAGTTCGCTCTATGCCTCGACATCCTGCACTCGAAGTGTTTCTGGACACGCGGTATGAAAGGACGTACAAAAACAAACCTTCTGTTATACCTCCTTTTCCTCTGCGCCTTAAATCCGAGGCCAAGAATTTTGCAATAGACTTATCAAACCGGTAGCAGTGTTGCCCAGCCCAGTTGCACCCTGGAACATCACACCTATTCCAATTAATTTTCTCTTTCCAAGTATGACAAGAAGAATGTGCCAGCAGAAGATCTTAGGCAAGAGTTCTTCCAAATCTCTGAAAACTACAAAAACTTTGTACAATTTTACACGGATGGAACGAAGGGGAGCAACAGTGTAGGATGTGCTGTAGTCGGGCCGTCATGCAGTATTGTAACGCGGCTCAGCAACCAAGCCACCATCTTTTCTGCAGAGTCATATGCCCTACTGGTAGCTGTGGACACTATCATCAAAAGAAATATCAAGGCTGCCATAATTTTCTCAGATTCTCTCAGTGCACTCCGTGCACTTGCATCCCTAGATAGATCAAAAAATGCTTTTATTCTGCAAATATGTAACAATATTGTAGCTGCCACAAACTCCAACATCACCATTAATTTCTGTTGGGTCCCTAGCCACGTCGGTATAGTCGGAAATGAGGAGGCCGATAAAGCCGCTAGAACATGTCGGGACATGGACACAGAGGTATCCTGCATCCCATACCTGGATTACAGGGCATCATTGAAAAAGTCGATTAAAAAGAAGTGGCAGGAGGAATGGGACACTGAAGTCCATAATAAGCTCCATTGCGTGAAACCTCTTCTTTCTGAGTGGGCCAGTTGCCGACATAACGAGCGCTTTTATGAAGTTGTTCTCTGTCGCCTGAGAATTGGTCACACTCAACTCACACATGGCTTCCTTCTGCGAGCAGAAGATGCTCCAACGTGTGAAGAATGTGATGAAACACTCTCCGTCTTGCACATTCTCATTTAATGTCCGAAATATCATGAGGAGCATCGCACCAACTTTCCACGGTTTTTTAAAGAACAGATCCCATTCCACCCAGCCCTTTTGCTGGGAGAGGAGCCTCTTGTTCCTCATAACCAAGTTTTTAACTTCCTAAACAGCAATGGCCTATTACAGCACATTTAAGTTAGTGAATTTTCTTTGGATCGTCTGCATTTCATGAAAGATTTTAAACTCTCATATCATACCTCACCTTTAACTAAATAGCACCGCAGTTTTTTCTTCTACCATTGTTCTGGCGCACTATGGCCTTAGCAGCCGCTGCGCCATGAAAACCCAAAATCAATCAATCAATCAATCAACGAACCCGCAGCGCACTGTTTTTGTCCACACAGCCAGCCGGCTTCTTCGTGTTGCTTCTATTTTGAGCAACGACGTTTCCTTAAAAATACAAAAATTTCTCCTATTTTTTTTTTTTCAAAAGCGTTTTTTTTTTTTTTTTTTGGGGGGGGGGGGGGGGGTTGAGGTCAGAGTAACCACGCAGGTCGGGTAATTGCTTCCGCGTAGAGAGCCGATCGCGAGGCGGGGAGACGGTCTGCACGAGAAGAAAGCCCTTCTTCAAGTTGAACGGAGACTGCCTACAGATGTAGCGAGTTGAGGGGGAGGAGGGAGGAGGAAAAACTTTATTTGTCTTAGGGTGATTGTTGAGCGGGCAGGATAGGGAGCTTATCCCCGCCTGGTGGCTAGGAGTCCATGGACCCCAGCGACCCACTCAGCCCGTTGGGTGACCCTGTCCTGAAGGACCGGGTCCGAGCTGAGCAGCGTGGCCTCCCACTGCCCCAGGGTAGCAATGCCAGGCCCGTCGGGCCAAGGGTCCTTCGGGCAATTCCAAATGATATGGGTTAGGTCTGCCCTCCCATGGCATAGCGCACAAGAGGGGGTGAAGAGGCCTGGGTGTATATGGGAGTAGAGGACCGGATTGGGATATGAGTTGGTCTGGAGCTGTCGCCACGTAGTGGCTTGAGCTCGAGGCAGGGAAGGGTGTGGGGGAGGGTAGATGCGCCGCCTTAGTCGATAATGGTTTGTGATCTCGTGGAAGGTGACCAATCGGTCCCGGGCCGTGCGAAACTCCATCCCAGGAGGTGCGGCCGGGGTCCCCAGCCCGGTCGGTGAGTCCTCGGGCGGAAGTGTGGGCGGCCTCGTTGCCAGGAAGGGAGGAGTGCGCAGGGGTCCAGATTAGGTGGACAGAATGGTGAGGAGGGTGTGTGGTGAGAAGGCGTAGGGTGTAGGGGGAAACTCGCCCCTTCATGAAATTACGGATAGCTGTTTTGGAATCGCTAACGATTGTGGTGGCGGAGGTGTTGGTCATCGCCAGAGCAATGGCGAACTCTTCTGCCTCTTCTGAAAGTGTAGTGTAAAGAGTTGCGGAGGTCAGAAGGGAGCCTGCATCGTTAACCGCCGAGAGGGCAAACGCCTCTCGGCGGGTGTATTCAGCGGCGTCGACGTAGGCCACGTCCTCTCGGCCGCCGAGTCGCTTATGGAGGGCCTCGGCGCGCTTAAGGCGCCTCTGTTCGTGATATTGAGGGTGCATGTTTCGTGGGATAGGAGAAACCTGGAGTGATTGGCGGATATCGAGGGGTAGGGAGCATTTGTGAGATGGGTTGGATGGGAAAAGTTAATCTGCAGCGACGTGAGGATGTGTCGGCCTGCCTGAGTAGTGGATAGCCGTTCGTATTGTGCGGTGAGATGGGCCTCGGCTAATTCCTCGGCCGTGTTATGGACTCCTAATTTAAGGAGTCTATCGGTGGAGGTAGAGGGCGAGAGGCTGAGGGCCGCCTTGTAGGTTTTTCTAATAAGGGCGTTAACTTTGTCGAGCTCTGCTCGCTGTAGGGGAAGGTAGGGAGTGGAGAAGACAAGTCGGCTAATCACAAAGGCTTGGACCAGCCGAAGCATCTCCTGCTCCTTGAGGCCATGATGTCGTGAAGAGATTCGATGAATGAGTCGGAGCGTTGGATCTACGCTTATTTGTAGTTTTTGTAATGCTTGTGTATTCTTGCCGTTGTTTTGGATTAAGAGGCCCAGAACTCGTATGGTAGGAACTTCAGGGATGAGATGGTTGTTTACTTGCAACCTGATTTCGGGAGGGGTCGTGGCCACTCTGCTGGGGCGCAGTAGGAGGAGTTCGGACTTTTGTGGAGAGCAAGATAAGTTGGCCGCTCCCACGTGTACTGCTATGATGTCCACGGCGGATTGTAGCGTGGCCTCAATGTGTCCATCGCTGCCACCTCCCATCCACAGCGTAATGTCGTCTGCGTAGAGACTATAATGAAGTCCCGGAAGGGTGTTAAGTTTAGCCGGAAGGGGTAAAAGGGCTAAGTTGAAAAGGAAGGGGAAAGTACGGAGCCTTGGGGGGTACCGTAGCTTCCCAGTTGTATGGGATCGGAGGTGAGGGACCCTAGTGTAATGGTTGCCTGCCTGTCAGTTAAGAAAGCCTTGATGTACCCGTACATGCGGGGGCCTGGGTTAATGGCGGCTAGGTTAGTAAGGATTGCCTCGTGCGAGACATTGTCAAAAGCCTTGGTGAGGTCGAGGCCTAGGATGGCTCGGGTGTCGCGAGAGCTAGTGGGTTGTAGGATTTGATGCTTAAGCTGTAGCATCACATCCTGGACTGAGAGGCCGGCTCGAAAGCCCACCATCTGCGGAGGGAGGAGATGCTTGTCCTCCACGAACGCCACGAGGCGATTCAGGGTGACGTGCTCCATCACCTTCCCGGCGCAAGACGTGAGCGAGATCGGCCGGAGGTTTTCTAAGGCGAGGGTCTTACCCGGCTTTGGGATAAAGATAATTTTTGCGGTTTTCCAGGCGGGGGGAAGATTGCCTGTTTTCCAGCATTCATTCATGTATCTTGTGAGGGCTTCTATGGATGGGTCATCCAGGTTGCGAAGGGCCTTGTTAGTGATTTGGTCGGGGCCGGGCGTCGAGTTGGTATGAAGCTGAAGCAGAGCCGCACGAACCTCGGGGACCGTAATGTCCGAATCCAGGAGGGGGTTACTGGACCCTGCATACGGGGGCAAGGAAGTAGTCCGGGGAACGCCTACGTATCGCGATTGGAGTTCCTGGAGGAGTTCGTCCTCAGTCCCCGGCCATTGGTGCAGGAAAGTATTAAGTCGATGTTGCTGCTCGTGCTTGCTTGAGGTTGGATCAAGGAGGTGACGAAGCAGAAGCCATGTGCGCTTAAGCCCCAATCGCCCTTGCATCTTGTCGCATATCTGGCCCCATTGTTGGGTTAGTAACTTCAGAGAATATTCTTCAATTTCTCTATCTAAGTAGGCTATTTTGCGGCGTAACTTGCGGTTGTGCCGCTGAGTTTTCCATCGCTTATGTAGGCTGGACCTCGCCTCCCAGAGACGAAGGAGGCGGGCGTCTATTGCCTCTAAGTGGGCTTCGTCTGGGATGTCCGTGGTGTTCAGTTGAATGTCTGTTAGGAGAGTGGAGGCCCACTCTTCTAGGTTGGTAATGGTTTCGGTTGCAGATGCCTCTCTACTGGCCCTAAAGTCGTCCCATTTAGTAATGCGGAGGCGGTTGCGACGGGATTTTCCAAGGCCCCCCCTTACCGTGGTTTCAAGTATGTAGTGGTCACTACCTAGCGGTTCTCCGAGATTTCGCCAGTTTAAGAGGGCTGTGTTGTGTGTGAACGTTAGGTCCGGTGTCGTGTCAACCGTTACGCTGGTACCTATTCGTGTTTGCTGGAGGGGGTCCGTTACCAGGGTGATACGGTGTTGTTGCGCTTGGGTCCATATATCCCGACCCTTGGGAGTGCATGTCCTGTAACCCCATGCCGTGTGGGAGGCATTGAAGTCTCCCACTATGACCAGGCCGTGAGGACCCGCCTCTCTTAGGGCACGCGAAAAGAGAACGCCAAATCTGTGTTTGCGAGCCGACGGGGGGCTGTATACGTTTAGTATATAGAGACGGGGTCGCCTTTCCGCTGCGGAAGGATCTCCAGGAAGTCGTGCTCGACGTCAACTCCGCCAAGGCTTTTGTATGAAGCGGTTAGGTGTCTACGTGTGAGGATGGCGGTATTGGGTTCCTTATTATCAGGATTTTGGAAAGTTCTATAGCCGGCAAGTTTGACCAGGCCGCGGGTTTCCTGAATCGCTATGATATCGGGGGGTGTTTCGAGGGATTGTATGTAATGTTGGAGATTGCCACGTTTCCGTCGGAAGCTGCGGCAGTTCCATTGCCAGATAGTGGTTTGGTGTCTACTGAGGCGTGGCGGGTGGGGGAGAGGTAAAGCCATACTCAGGGATGCACTGTTGGAGGTAGGGTGTGGATAGTGGGGGTGGTAGAGGATTGGAGGACCCTGCCTGGGATGAGAGGTTGGTGAGTTGGTCCATTTGACCGGTGAGTTGGGCCAATTCGGAGGAGCGCTTTGAAACAATGCCTTCGATTGCCGTAAAACGGCTGTGAACGTTTTGCTCTAAGGTTTGCAGTCTGGCACTGAAAGTGCGAGACATTTCGGTCATTGACTCTGAGAGTCGGCGTAATTCGTCTACGATTTGGACGTCATTAGTATCGATTGCTCTACGCTTGGTAGGCTGGGCGGCGCTATCAGGCGAGGGTATGGCGACTGCAACGGGTTGTGGGAGAGGGACAGGAGTGGGTGCTGGAGGGGTAACCTCTTTCTGTTTAATTAGGGTTCGTAATTCAGTATTTTCCTTCTGAACGGCAGTGATTAATTTCGTGAGGGTTTGGACCTCTCGCCGTAGAGCCGCGAGCTCGTTGTCCCTGGCATCACCACCCGTGGAACCGGAGGCCACATTAGCCCAGCTCACCTGTTTGGTGGCCGCTGGTTGTCGGGGCGGCTCGTCTTGCGGGACCTGGCGCGGTTTGGACCTGGATCTGGATCGTGGTCGGGGTCTGGAGTGAGTACGGGACCGGGATCGAAATCCGGGCTCGGAGGGTACTGATTTGCGTTCCCTGGACCTGCCACGGGGGGGCGGTGGGGTTGAACTTTTGCCGAAATCGCCGACCGGGCGTTGTGCCTGACGGCGGCGAATGGCAGGGTGTTCTTGAAAGCGTTTCTTGCACCTCGGGGAACCCGTGGGGTGGGGTCCTCGGCATACGGCGCATTTCACTTCACAGTCGTGGTCAGTGGGCGGATTGTCGATTCCGCAGCGTGGGCACTTATTGGCTCTCGGTGAGGGGCACACATCTGCCCTATGCCCGATCTTCCAGCAGATATTGCAGGCCTCCGTCTTGTGTTTGAATAGTACGCAGCGGTAGGGGGCCCCGTGGTAGCTGACCCAATGGGGCACCTCCGGGCTGTCGAAGACTATTAGCACGGAGTTAGTTTTTCCCATCCGGCGGGCAAGGAGAATAGCCGGGTCGTGATTGTAGTCGATTAGGTATCGGCTGATGTTGTCCGGTGTATCGTATTCTGGAACATCAAAGATGATTCCGCGTGAGGTGTTGGCAGGATCTGCTACGTATGTGGCCAGGGGATAGTTCTCCTCTCCGATGCGTAAGGTGTGAAGGTTGAAGTACGTGCGCGCCCGCTCTACGGAGGGGGTGCTGATTAGTATAGAGTTTTGAGTAGCGTTGATTCGGATTTGGTCGGCGCGTGCGGCGTCGTAGTTGGTCTGGGCAGCGTTGAAGATAAGGTCTTGCAGCTTGCCTGTGCTCATGGAGCTTAGGTTGAGGCCACCACGTGGACGAATGACGATCTTGTAGTCGTCGTCAGGTAGTCTTGGGAGCTGCGGCGGGCGCGGCTTGGAGCCAGGCCTTGGCGAGCTGCGGGAAGCCAGACGCTCGGCTGGGTTCGATGGCTTCGGTGAGGGTACTTTCGGCTGTCGAGCCTTCTTTCTGGCCGTATGGACTGGGATCCAGTCCGCATTGAGGTCCTCCGGGGCGATGACTTCTCCCTCGACGACGACCTCCATGTTGGGGCAAAGGGCTGGCAGATATTCGCCGCTCGTTGAACGAGACGCCGATCTCTCCGCGGACGGGCGGCGGCGGGCCGACGGATCGGGGCGGTGTTTACGCCAGGATCACGTTCTCCTCCGGGGTTCGCGGAGCCCGGAGAAGTCGACCGTTCTCGGTGGTGCCTGGAACGCGTCTCAGTTGAGGGGGAAAAGTTTCCCAACTCCCAAGGCAAGAGAAGGGCGACACAGGTTGTAAAGGGAGAGATCGCACTGCAGTCTGTGTGGAAGCGCTGCTACCACGGTGGTCGTCGGAGACATCAAAGAATCGCGGTATCTTCGCCGGTATTTCTGCGTCTTTGTTTCCGAAACACAATTTTGGGTCTTGGCGATCCAGCCTGCTATGTTCAGGCGGGCGCCCAATTACGCACCCAGACGGTTTCAGCCTATTTTCAAAGACTACCATAAAACAGGAAATATGCTGAAATAAAAAAAAAGCATCGCCACTGAAGGTGCTTCCCCACCTCCCAGAGTCCATCTGCTTCCTCCTCCCCAGCCTTCCTTCTCCTCGCCCTGTCACTTCACGGAAACTGCAGTTGCAGATCTGTCACTGTGAAATCCCCGGACGGTTTGTTTGGACATCTCAACAGCAAAGCATGTACTTTTTTTTTTGTTTTTCTTTGACGAGCGCAACGCTAAAAAATGCACAGTATTTAAAGTTTTACACTTTTAATCATTATGGCTAGCAAAAGGACGCTCCTTGATGCGTGGTTGCGTGGGCCCAAGAAATTGGCAGTTTGTCAGAGAAATAGCCAAACCTTCGGCACGGCAACAGCTGACCGTATCATACCAAGAGTCACCCTGATTTTACAAAAAATCTGGTAGGTTTTGTTTCAATTTTGTGTGTGTGCATGCGTAGCAAAGCAAGAAAGAATTGTCGAATCTTAGGTTGCATAAACTGCATTGCATGGAGTTCGCAATGTTCCGTTGTTCTATAAAATAACCGCATAAAACAGTTTTGTAATATATTGCGAAGGTATTTAACACACAGTCGTAGTTAGATGGTGGAAGTAATCAGTAAAATTTTTATAAAATTAGTTCACTAAGCAAAACAAAAAAGAAAAATATATTTTTTTTTTATTTTGCATATGAACACCAAATAATATTTTGGGCTACTGTGGCGTTAATTCTGGCGAATGAAGGCTATGCTATGTAATATTGTATTTTATTTTTATTCCACCCATTTTCTTCAGTCATAATAAACGCCTCAGTTTCCCTGAAAAATATTTGATAGTTTCGCGAAAAAGAGATTTCGCGAAATTTTACCCATAAAAACTGCTTCTTTTTTTTTCCTTCCTTTCTTTCACTAAAAAAGTATTTCTTCATTTTCAAAAAAAAAAAAAATATCCACTACGTTTGGGCATCTCTGTAGTAAATCATAATACGCACGTTAACAAGGAAATTTGCACATAGAAAAAAATCGCAACGGTTCAGGCGAGCTGGTGAATGTTAACCATGTTGAATAGAAGGGACAGAAAATAGACAGAACGACGTCTTGAGACATCGTCCTGTCTATTTTCTGTCCCTTCTATGCTTTGATGTTTCTTCTCTACCCCAGTCTCAGGTTAATTCAACATGGTGAAATTTGCGCGGTCACTTCAAAGGGCTAACGAAACATCTTACGTGAACTCCCGGTAAAGTTTGTCAGACCCCCTAACCGCTTTTGGTGGGCATTGGTTTTAAACGTCAGATTTGGGGGTTTTACGTGCCAAACCAACGACGGGCACCTGAAACGCCCCAGCGGAGAACTGTAGATTCATCTCGACCCCCCAGGGGACCTTTTGACCTACAACCGAAAGCTCGGTTACCACGGTGCCTTCTCTGCAATAAGCCCCCGTCAGATTGCGGGAATTCGAGCCCACCACCCGGGGATTCGTAAGCCGGCGCTTTGCCTCGAAGCCACCGAGACGGCTAGCTTTTCGATTTAATTTCCAAAATCATTGCATTGTGGTGACGTGTTCTAAAGAAAGCCGGATTTCTCTTAACGTAGAAAAATAGTTGTGCGTTTGCCTCGGTGTGTCGTAGTTTTATCCCGCTTAAATGACAAAGAAAAAAAAAGCTAATTAATTTCTTTAAGAGGAAAGATTGTTGTAGAGGGCTGCAGCCTCGACACTAACGCGCACATAAATTCGCATTCGACTAATCTAGATTCTTCAACGCTATAGCCCAATAATGAGACCAATGGCGGCCTTTGTCGACTATTTTTTAGTTACCGATATGGCCCAAATTGATTAAGAGAGCATATTTAGAGTTCAATGTTGTTTATCTTGTGCAGTTTATTGAGCACAGTCTGTAAGCTTGATAATAATTATAACAGGCAAAGTGTGTCTTCCGTTGAACCTCGTTGGTGTGGTACACATTTCTGTCTTGTCAAAACGCTTCTAGATGCTAGCCAATGATCTAAAGCGCAAAGATGTTATCGAGTTCCTTTAAAAAGTTAAAATGCAGAAAAAAAAACGTACTTAAAGCAACAGGTAGATCACAGACAGCCGCTAACTTTCAACTTCTTTGGCCGTGTGTGTGTGTGTTTTTTTTTTTTCGATTTTAAACTTTTTAACGAACGTGAACCAACTAGCCCAATCCAAAAAATTAATCCATGTTATCGAGATTTTTTTTTTCGGTTCCATTGTAATTAAATGCTGACGACCGCATCCACAGGTGGTAAGCTCGGTGTATATGGCGGGGCGGACGCTTTTTTTTTTAATTTTCAAGATTGTTTGTCATAACTTCTTACAAGAACAGAGCTACGCCTAAAAACCTCACAGGAATGCATCCAGAATTAAAATACACCTTCGCTGAAAATGTGAGCTCTCTATATGAAGGCGCCCGATTTTCCAGTGCATTTTACATCGGCACGGTAAATCGGTGCCACCGTGTAGTTGCTACTATTGGATCCGACTGCGTCAACATTTCATTGCTTCGTGGCAAGAAGTTTGGATAATGTAGGGATACATGGTATAGGAAATGATAATTAACCTTCTATAAACAGTGAAATTTCGGTAATAACTGTTTTTTTAATTTTCATTTTTTCACCCCCCCCCTTCCACTGCACCCTTCATTTCGACCGCGAGCCCCCCACGTAAAATACACTTCCGGGGTCGCTGGCGGCTTCCAGGGATCCGTCGGGAGCAACGAAAACATTGGAGTTCACCAGTGTTCTGTGAGTCGCGTACTTGGTGACGGCACCAACACTATCATCGATTGCCTCGGATCGAAGTGACTGTCTTTCAAACAAACTCAAGCAGAGAAGGCGCTCACAAAAAGGAAGTTCTTTGAGCGATGCAAGTTCAGCGGCGTGATCGATAAATATTCTAAATACTCTTACACGATTCAACACGATTGTGTTTTCATTTGACTGCACCCCATATAAGCGACTTGGCTGAGCGAAAAGCCAAGCAAGCAACGGTAACAGGCTTAAGTTGAGCTAGTTCGTTCATACTTCAGGTAGAGAGAGAGGGAGAGATATACTTTATTTTAAAGCAGCTACTTCAGGTAAGGCCAGCTGAACTAGAGTAAACATACACATAAAGAAAAGACCATACACACCGTGGGACTAACAACTGATTTTCTTTTTCCTCCTCTTTTCCTCCTCTTCTGCTACAAACCCAACTTGAAGGAAGTATTCTATTTTCTTCTTTTTTGCTTCCTACTTCACCGAAAATTTAACCCCAGAAGGAAAATTTTTTTCTTTCTCGTGCAGCACGAGGGAAGCTGCACTAACGCAGTCAAATATAGCCAAAAAGTAAAATTGGTCGTTAGCTGTTTATACAGCAGGAGGTTAGTCTGCCTGAACATGGCGACATTGTTACCCACTGGAGATAAGCAATTTAGCCAGTGCAGTATGACTGCTAGCCCGGGGTCTTTAACGTGCATCACGCAGTAGTGATACACGACCGCACGCCGGTACGATGCTCATCCAGATCGAAACGGGCAGGGGCGGGGATTGAACCCAGGATCCCTGGGTTCTGCAGCGCGAGCTTAAACTCCACGTGCTCCGAGCTGGTGTGCGCTTTAGTGTGCGCTAGCCCACTCGGCGAACGTCCGAAATTCCCTGCAGGAAAAAAAAAAACGATGACGTTTCAACTCAATCGCCACTGTTCGGCGACGTCACCGGACACGTCACGGTGCAGTTCTCTTCCGATGTAGTTTGTTGGCGATGGAGATTAGGCTCCTCCCACCGGCGACGTCACGATGCAGTTTCTCCCCCGCTTTTTCCAGCATAGACAGATGTGCGGATGGTGAACGGGTAGTGCCGAAATGCCGTCGGCGAGCTTGGGTGCGTATCCAGCAGACGCCTGTGGATTTTCCTGATACTTTGGCTGAGCATGCACACTCCAAGATCACGAAGGTCGCACAAGTAGTGGATAACTCGTGCCGTTTCGAGCCTTCCAGTGACTATGATCCAAAGTTTTACCAAGGGAATAAACTCAGTGTCGGTACGTGCGTTAAAGCAAAGGATACGTAGAATAGTCTTTGTTCTTGGCTTGCTCCTTTTTGCTGATTATGCATTAAGATGCCTTTCATTCTTGTCATTTTACACTCGTTTTATTGGGAAGCTTTTGTAGAAAGTTTTTGTAGACTGAATAACTTATATCAATACGTTGCAACCCCAAGGGTGCCAGCGGAATATCAGATTTTGTTATCTGAGTTTTAAAACAACCAACTTAAAAACTTCTTACTCCCATAATCGAAAAGAGAAAATGGCTACGTCTCAGGCATGCCCAATGTTGTTAGTTCATGCTTATGCAGGATATTTTTTTATTCTTAACAGAACTTTACAGAATTAATTAAAAGGAGGTAGTAGATACGTGTATGTCGTCTGCACTGTACACCCGCAGATCTCGGTGGACCCTACATGGGTGAATAACCGTTGCAATATTTTGATTACTTAGCCGAATATGGTAATTAACTTTTTAATTAAAGGTTTAATGGGCCATGTTGCAATTGCAGCTTTAAAGGGATACTACAACGAAATTTCGGCGCTCATTTTTTAGCCTATATGTGTTCAAAGAAGCAGCATCACATCGAACATACCAATATCTTGTTAAAAAAGTCACGCAAAGGAATTTTAAA